TTCCTGGAGTGCGCGCGCGCAAAGCACGCACGTGCCGCAACCACATCACCCGGAAGTGACGCGATCATGCCGGGCACGCTGGGGGCGGGGCCATGACCATCCGATGACCGTGGCCCCTCCCCCAGCGTCCCTGGCGTGGTTGCGTCACTTCCGGGTGACGTGCATGTCACGTACTTTGGGGGTGGGGTTCCCCCCCGGGGCCCGATCCGCCAGCGGCCGGGAACGGGCCTCTGGGGCGGGGGTTTCCCCGCCCCCCGGGGGGACTTGGCAAGCGTAGATCAAACCTAATTAAAAGTCTCACACCTCAAGGCCAAACGACACAATATGTTTTTGGGAGAGTGATGTCTTTCTTTCCTGGACAGCAGCTGCAGGGAACACCATTTCACAAATCAGGAGGAGCCCAATCTGTTTATTTATTACATTTCTACCCCGCCCTCCCTCCCAGGCAAGGCCTGCTCAGGGTAAAGAAGCACGGTGTGCGGGGAGAAGGGGCTCCCACCTGCAATCCCACCACGCCATCTCCTATGCCAAGACAGCCTGCTTGGGGGGTGGGGGGGTGGGAATTATCTGACTCATTTTGGGGCTGCATGTGCAGCTGCAGGAAAGGGCAGATAACATCCCCTCCCCTCCCAGCTGTTTTGGCAGCAGAAAACAGCATGGGGGAGGGGGAGGGAAAAATCCCCTCCTCTCCCCAAGTCACAGTTCTGAGCCAAAGGAGGCATCCACTGGTTTTTAACATGATGTTTCCTGCAGCTGCTGTGTGGCTGCAGGGAAAGCCAGTTGGATCCAGAGGAACACAGGGAACTCGGACCAGACTTGCCAAAGAATGTATCATGTAGTTTGTCTCTTAATGATAACAGAATAGGTACCAGCAGGGGTCATTTCCTGCAGGAGCGCACAGGAGTGGAGCTCCGGCAGTAAAGAGCCCAGGGGGCGGGCACATGCAACAAGCCCCACCCCCTGCTCCCAGCAGCCCTCAGTCAGAGCAAGAAGCAGCCAGGTAAGCTGCAGAGCCCCCCCCCCCCGGTCCAAAACAGTCCAGTGGCACCTTTAAGACCAAGTTTTATTCAGGTACAAGCTCTCCCTCCTCTGCGAGGACAGATCTGCACGTTCCCCCCCCAATAGCTAGCAATCCAAAACAATCCAGTGGAGTCTGAGCGGTGGGTGTTGCCTTCTGACACACTTCCGGTGATGTCAGGGTCATGGCATATGCAAATGAGTTATGCTAATGAGTGATGCTAATGAGCTCCTGCACCTCTTTTTCTACAGAATGACCCCTGGGTATCAGGCAAACCTCGACAGAGAGGACACTGCAGAGACAGAATTCCACCACTGGAAAAGCCCTGTGCCTACTCGCCACCCAGCCTCACCTCCTCGGGCAGGGGTACAGAAAGTGCGGCTGAAGACAAAAATCTTAACTGTTGAGCAAATTGCAACAAATGGAACTCTAATGTCTCCTTCAACGAATAGCACCAACAGTGTGGCAACAGAGAGGCTTGCTGTTGTTTGGCTTTCAGGCACGTGATGGAAGCACATTTGTTGTTAAAATCTTTTCTCCTTCTACTGCTAGTTCTGGTTCCCTGACTGTGTTTAGAAATAAGACCTTTAAGACCAACAATGTTTTTATTCAAGGTATGAGCTTCCATGTGCAGGTTGTGCACGCACACTTCCTCGGATACACCGAAATGGAAGGTGTTCAGAAATGTTAGTATTTAAATTGTTCTGATGTATTTGTCCAGGCTTTGGGCGCATACGTTAAGAAGCCACAGACAGACAAAGAGCCAGCACGTTCCACTGCTAAGCGTGATCGAGCGGCCACCCGTACAAATTCTCCAGCATGCACTCGCAAGGGGAAATGTCCAGATGGAAAACGCTGGTATCAACAGAGTCCAAAATCTAATAAAGAAAACCAACTTGAGTTCAGATCTGCAAGCAAATGCAGGGTACATTAAGTCCCCTCCTGTAATGTGAAATTAATTCTAATTGATGGAGGCTGTTATGGGCTCCTTGCAGAACGCCACCCAGAAGGCAGCCGGCCAAGGTGCTGACAGTGCCGTGAAGAGAGAAAGAAGGGGGGGGGGGAGTGACAAATACTTCAGAAGCCACAATTAATCCTACATCAGCATTTGTACACTTTCAACCTCAGCAGGGGATTCCACCGGAGGAGAAACGATGCATGAAAAAGAGATGATTCATGGCAAGCTTGCATGCCTGCCGGAACGGATGAGCAAAGAGCGGCACGACAGAGAACCACCGGTCCTGTGCACTTTTATCGTTTCCACCCGGGTTTTAAACCAGAAGCTATTTTAGAAGAGGGAAAGGCAGCAGCCTCTCCCTGGACTCCCAGTTGTGCTCAAATCAGATTCAAGGTCACTTATTGCGGCAAGAGTACCAGGAGGAGCTGGGGTAAGCAGAAAAAAACTGCCTTGCTTAGTCCGTCGAGGCCAGCCCTCTTCTTCAGAACAGCAGCACACCAAACGTCCCTCCTTCTTCCCTCATAATACAAGGGCAAGAAGAAATTTGGAACAGAAAAGCAGAAGGAATGGGGTTGTGCAGCTAAACCCTAGCCCCCCATTCCCCTGCTCAAATTGTATCCCCTGGCAGATTTTCTTGTGTGAATTGACCTCGGGGTGGGGGGTGGGGTGGGGTGGGGAAGCCACCGGAGGATGATTTGGAGCACAGGAAAAGTGGGGAAAGGGTACAGTGTCTTCCCCTCTCCTTCTAATTCCCTCTCCTAAAGCCGCTTTAGGTAAAGTTAAAGGTTCCCTTGCTCGAAAGGCAGTCGAGTCCGACTCTAGGGTTGCAGTGCTAATCTCAGTTTCAAGCCAAAGAGCCAGCGCTGTCCGAAGACGTTTCCGTGGTCATGTGGCCGGCATGACTAAACACCAAGGAGCACAGAATGCTGTTACCTTCCCACCAAAGCGGTACCTATTTATCTACTTGCAATATTTTGCTTTCGAACTGCTAGGTTGGCAGGAGCTGGAACCAGAGACGGGAGCACACTCCGTCATGCGGCACCCGGGTCTCGAGCTGCTGAACTACCGACCTTCCACAGCCTGCAGTTCAGCGTCTTAACCACTTGAGCCACTGCAGTAAAATAAAGTAAAGCCGCTTTACTGTTTTTTAAAAAATAGGGGATCGGGGTTCGATAACACATATCCACCACTGATAGTTGGCCCCTGACTGTGATATACTTTATAATATACCCCAGGAGGGTTGCCAACTGCAAGCTGGGAAATTTCGCCCTTTTCTCCAGGCGAAACAGATCTGTGTTGTCTGGAGATCTGCTGTCATTCTGGGAGATCTCCACGCCCCACACTCAGTTTGGCCATTTGGCTACTGTGTTCTCATAAATTCTGTGAGTCCGTCTGCACAGCTTGTGGTATTTGATGGGCAATGCTCCCTCTAGGCTTCCCAAGTCCCCCCGGGGGGCGGGGAAAACCCCGCCCCAGAGACAGTTCCCCGCCGCCACCGGATCAGGCCCCGGGGGGAACTCCTCCCCGACGTGCGCGTCACCCGGAAGTGACGCGACCATGCCGGGCACGCTGGGGGTGGGGCCACGGCCATCCAAGGGAAAACTCTACGGTTTTCCCTCGTATGGCCGTGGCCCCGCCCCCAGCGTACCTGGCGTCATCAGATGCCGGCTGGGAGCCCCCTGCTCCCGGCGAAGATCAACTTGGCAACCCTATTAGCGGCAGGAAAGAAATAAGAGTTTTGTGAAGCCTTAACAACTAACTAATGATTTTAATTCTAGCATAAGTGTTTATCAACTCAAGCCTACTTCATCTAGTCTATGAAAACTAAAACAAACAGTTAAGAACATAAGAAGACCCCTGCTGAATCAGACCAGTGGTCTATTTAGTCCAGCATCCTATCTTACACAGTGGCCAACCAGTTCCTATGAAGGGCCAATTGTCTGAAGTCAGAAGGTGGAGATTGGAGGAGGTTAGGAAAAGAGATGGGTCAGAGGGTCTGACCCTGGGTCAGAAGGTGTGTCAACATAAATGTTGAAATCACCAAGGAGGAAGGTATGTGTGTGGGCTGTCATAGAGGCATCCAAGTCTGAAACAAAGTTTTGACAATGAGCCTGAAAGGACAGCAGCATGAGCTGTAGAAGGGGGTGCAGAACAAACTTTAATGGTTGAGAAGCAGAAGGGCAGAGGGGTGGGCAGGGATGGAACTGAGAGGCATCCTGGAAATTCTGTGGAAAACAACAGGGAGTAAATTTAGTTACAGTATATAACTGCGGTCTGAAACAACAGCCTTCAATAATACAGGCAACATTAACATTAATCATCTCACACACGCGAGAAGCCAAGAAGCAGTACTTATTTACTGTTTTGAGATCTGAAGAAATGGTGGTTTGAAACGAATGAATTGAAGGCTGCCAAATGACCTCTGGGTTCAGCGCTTCTGGTTCTCCGGACCCAGGTGAAGGCTGGCAGCCCGAGTCAAAAGCCTGGAACCGGGACCTAAGCGTGGCTCAGAAGAAAGGCTACGGGAGCGGAAGGCCCCCCCCCCAGTCACCAACCTCATGCTGAATTACTCCCTGCCACTAAATGTGTCTCTTTATACAGGTTTATGAGCCTGCTGTTGAATTTTTCATGGCTAATGTGCTTCCTCCCCTCCTAGTACAATTTTTTTATTATTATTATTTAAACATCTAATTTAAATGCAGTAGAGAAGATTAAGTGGAAATAATCATAGCACATTTTTCAGAAACACATCATCTTTGGGCAAAGCCCTGCGTATATGAGCAAGTCCTCCTGAGAAATTACATGCTAACCTATGCACAGGTTCGGTTTTATAGAAGCCATTTAATCACTTCCACGCACCCACAGTTATTCCTGAGTTGCCAAGTGGTAATGAAACCATCCCATGTAACTCCAGACATGGCATACTCCTCATGCACGTTGGCCCATAGTAAAGATATATCTTACTTATCTTGTTCTCTGTGTTTTTAGGTGGGAAAGCGCGTCAACAACAGCGAAGGTACCAACCTGTATCATGTACAGCTGGGCAATCCTATACTCTTCCACACTCATTGGAAGCGGAATCCGATACTCCTTTATAAGCATCTTGAAATCCAAGCAGGCCCTTTGGTCCGGTCAGAAACGAAAGCCAAAGGTATTCACTGGAGGTTGCTTAAGTAACAAAGCTGGTGCATGGATGCCCCCTGAAATAAAAGCAAGAGGGGGAAAATATGCATTTAATGTGGTCCAGAAGAACACATTTCTTTCCTAACACATCACAACGCCACAGAAGGCATCTAGATGGGACCCAAATACTGACACAATTCACAACGTGAAAGAAGAAGAAGAGGAAGAAGAAAAAGAAGAAGAGGAAGAGGAAGAGGAGGGGGGGAATTGGATTTATACCCCGCCCTTCACTACCCAAAGGTGACTCAGAGCGGCTTACAAACTCCTTTCCCTTTCCCTCCCCACAACAGACACCCTGTGAGGCAGGTGGGGCTGAGAGACCTCTTGACAGAAACTGCTCTTTTTCGAGAACAGCTCTTATCAGAACTACGGCTTGCCCAAGGTCATCCAGCCAGGTGCAAGTGGAGGAGTGGGGAATCAAACCCGGTTCTCCCAGATTAGAGACCGCGCACTTAACCACTACACCAAACTGGCTCCTTTCCCAAGAGGACCTTTACTGCACGTGTATCATTCCAAGAGAGTCACATTTCATCAGATCGTAGTCACCAGAGATCTGGCTGGTACCACCTTAACAATGCTCCCTCTAAGCTGTGAAGTCTTGTGAGCAAAAATTCTACTTTGTGAGCTACTGGCATTAAAGTTGTGAGCGAGCCATTTGGCTGCTGCATAAATCAGTTTGCTCTGGACCCATCCTTCCTGAGCGAAGACAAAAGTGTGTGAGCTGGAGGCTAAAAAACTGTGAGCTAACTCACACCAACTCGGCCTAGAGGGAACACTACGCAACATACTGTTGGTGAGTTATCCTGGAATGAGTCCCCTGAAGGTAGAAGCTTGAGAGAAGACTGCTTTAGAGCAGGGCATAGGGCTATTAGCACTGCCTCGATAAAAGGCTGGGAAATTCTGAGGACAGTGCCTGAAGAGGGTGGAGTTTGGGGAAGATGTGTCATCACTTCTGGGGAGTGCTCTAGAAATTCCCCCTAATCCTAGGGTCATCAGGCCTGTGCCTGTAACCCTCATGACATTTCTGTGGTGGGGCTGTGTCTGACCACAGAAGTGATGCCACTCCCAGCTGACACTCTAGAAACCCCCTCCCCATCTCTATGGAAAACCCCAAAAAGATTGGGGGGGGTTCCCCTAAAGCACTGCCCAAATGTGATGTCACTTCTGGGTCTGAATGTAATTCCCCACCCACTTTTTTCCTAGCATGACCATCGGTAGCAGTGGGCAGGTGAGTGCAGTGGTGGGCAGCTGGCAAGCCTACCTAATCTCTATAGTACAAACCACAAAGATTCAGGGAAATCCCTAGAGTGTCACTGTGGTGACCATCTTCTGTCCATTCCTCCCTCCCTCCCATACTCCTGTGCTTCTCAAGAGCAGGGGTTTACCTGCCACGGGTGGACAAACAGCGAGTCTACCAAAGCCCCTGAATCTGTACTTGCTACAGCAGAAGTCTTGATGTGCTGCCAGAACAACTACCAATATTACAGCCAGTGAACTTCACAGTCCTGCCCGTAAAGCTTTTACAGTCTTATCCTCTGTAGCCGAGATGAGGCAAAGTTAAAAATGAACAACAAAGGCTTTTATCACAGCATTACACTTAGTGATGACACCCCCCACTCTTTAAGGAGGTGAGCCATTTGCCAGCAAGTCACTAGGGAACGGAAGGGCAGTCCTTGGTGTTCTTTTCTATTCAACAGCTGAGAAATTAGGAACGCTTTTAGTCAGTCATCTGCCTTTAACCCATTAATCAACCAGATTTAAATGGGTTTATTAATTGTGAATGACTCCGTTGTTTCCTTCAATATCTCAGAAAATCACCTATGTGAGGGGATGTGGCTCAATGACAGATCACCTGCTTTGCTTGCAGAAGATTCCGGGTAACAATTCCCAAAATCTTCAGTTAAAAGATCTCGGGAAGCAAATATCAGAAAGCTGCTGTCAGGACAGGCAATGCTGAGCTAGACGGAACGGTTGGTGTGGTGCCATCGTATGACTGTTCATAAATATATTAAATCATAAATAAATACTAAAGTCACAGTATTGACACTTTTTTGAAATGTTAATCTGTAGGAAAGAAACCTGCAATTCAGCAAACAAAAGCAACCATTCAGTGTTAGAAGGAACGGCCATCTTGAAATAGTTTTAACACCCCACGGGCAAAGGTAAAAGGTAAAGGTAAAGGTTCCCTTGCTCGAAAGCCAGTCGAGTCCGACTCTAGGGTTGCGGTGCTCATCTCCGTTTCAAAGCCGAAGAGCCAGCGCTGTCCGAAGACGTTTCCGTGGTCATGTGGCCGGCATGACTAAACACCAAGGCGCACGGAACGCTGTTACCTTCCCACCGAAGTGGTACCTATTTATCTACTTGCAATTTCTTGCTTTCGAACTGCTAAATTGGCAGGAGCTGGAGCCAGAGACAGGAGCTCACTCCGTTATGCGGCAACCCGGGTCTTGAACTGCTGAACTACAGACCTTCCACAGCCTGCAGTTCAGCGTCTTAACCACTTGAGCCACCGCAGCTCAAGTTTCAACACCCCACGGGCAAAACAGCCTAGAAAAAAGGAAGTTGTGTTCTGAACTCTCGGTCAAATGATAATCAGCACTGCTCATGTTAATTCAAATTGGGCCTCGCTGGCTAATCAACTAAAATTCCAGTTGATTAACCTATGAGCAAGTCCATTAAAGCTTACAGTCCTCAGAATTTAATGCAGACCCTAGCCTTGTGCAACACCATCCCCAGTTACCATTACCTTGTGATTTTCCTTCTGCTTTCAGCTGCGTTAGAACAAGGGAAGACTGGACCTTGCAGCGTGAGAAAAGGCAATGGGAGATTGCTGCTGAAAAGCTGGGCATGCAGACAGCCCAAATCAGCCCAGGTACCAAAGATACAGTCACGAAAAATGAAGGGAGGAGAGAGCTCTAAATTTAAAACGGCTGGTCTGTCACCTTCAAGGTGAATCCCATTAGCTCCAGAAGGCTACAGTCCCCCTTAAAGTGACAGGTCAATAGTGGAGTTTACCTTCCTAAGACCAAAACATTCATCACACCCAGCCTCCAGTTCGTTTCTGCACCCCTGGAAAGTGCAAACGCTCACAGTTCCCAATGGAAATCACTATTGATTTCCTCGAGGATATATCCTGCCTCACAGAAAGCCTTGTTCTGACCAAGCAAACTGAAGAAACTTCCCAGCCTTCAAAAAGCTGTTTTAGTGGCCTAAGAAAGCTGATAAAAGCAAGTGCAATGAGAGAGAAGATAAAGGCTCCTTTTCAAGCAACCATGACTGGGCTATGTGATATCATCCCCTCACCACATAGTTATTAATGCTTGCTTAATGTTTTTGCACCCTGAGAGAAGTCTCCTGGTTGCTATAGTGAGAGGCCTAGAAGCTAATCTATAGTATGAGGAATACTGGGACATTTTTGCCTTCCCCCTCCCATTCCAGATACATGCTGCCCAGTGGTGAGGGAAATGCATTCTGCATGTACTCAGAGACAAAGTGCTTCATGGGTCAACTTCACAACACCCCTTATAAGGTAGATCAGTATTACCTCCAGGGGTCATTTCCTGCGGGAGCGCACAGGAGCGGAGATCCGGCAGTAAGGAGCCCAAGGGGTGGGCACATGTAACAAGCCCCATCCCCTGCTCCCAGCAGCCCTCAGTTGGGCCACGAGGAGCAAGAAGCAACCAAGTAAGTTGCAAAGCCCCCTGGCCTGCCTTCAGGTACAAGCTCTCCCTCCTCTGTGAGGGCAGTTCTGCATGCCCCCCCCCCCAATAGCTAGCAATCCAAAACAGTCCAGTGGAGCCTGAGCAGTGAGTGTTTCCTTCTGACACACTTCCAGTGACGTCAGGGGGTGTGGCATATGCAAATAAGTTATGCTAATAAATTATTCTAATGAGCTCCTGCACCTCTTTTTCTACGAAATGACCCCTGATTACCTCCCTTATTGAGGCTGACAGAATGCCTGACCTAAGGCCACCTGAGCGAAACTGTGGCCAAAGTGAGATCTCGATCAGGTCATTATTTTTTGCCAGCTTCCCCAAACGCATAGGGTTGCCAAGTCTGGCTTACAAAACCCCTGGAGGTTTGAGGGTACAGCTAGGGGAGGGCAAGGTTTAGTCAGGGGCGGAGCTCAGTGGGGTATAATGCCCCATGTTCCAAAGCAGCCATCTTATCCAGGGGGAACTGGTCTCTTTTGTCCAGAGATCAATTGTAATTTGAGGAGAGCTCCAGACCCCGCCTGGAGGTTGGCAACCCTACAAACCCATGAGGGGCGAGTGCTCGCCAGCGCTACCCCGCACAGGAACCACTTGCCCCAAGGCGGCCACACCTGGTGGCGTTACTGTGGCAACCAGCACCATGAACTCTAGCTGCAAGGGTTTTTCATTACGGCAGTAATAAAGCAGGCCTATCTCGACTCCCCCAGAAGTCCTAAATAAATTCGCTGTCTAGCACTGCATGATAAACAACTCTTCCCCTTCCAGTCTCAGTTCCTCATTTCATGCCCTTTTACTGCTTCCAAATTGCTATTAGACCTGTCAGTGCAAAACCCCAGAGGAAATTTCTCTGACATCCACCCCCCCACAAACATATTCTCTTTCCCCCACAGACTGACCCAGAGAATTTCTCCGACAGTCACTCAGGAGAACATTCCGGAATAGGGTGGGAATAATCTCATTAAACCGCGCTTAATTAATATTATTGAACATGCCAATAATAGTCATAAAGAGACCGAGGCCTAGAATCTCATTCCCCACACTTCATGGACTCTCTGCTTCCGGGCAAACCCAACTGTCAAAGACCATAAATCTCCCACAACTGAGGGGTGTGTGTGCTTATGTCCTTCATAAATATGTTTATTTTGAAAAGGTTTAATTAAACAGTATCATCCCACTCTGGACCCATTTCTAAATTGGTGCATATCA